AAAACAATATTTATAAATAAATATCCATAAAAAAAAAACATTCAGATGAATAACTGATTGAAAAGTTCTATTTTCTATTTAAAATATTTCTTTTATTCTAAACTATAGAGATCTTCTTCTACAATGATTATCAACTTTATTATTATAGTTATTCATGAGAATAATATATTATTTGTATAGAAAACAAATCATATGTGAAGATAAACATGATTATTATCATAACATTAAATCATCACTAATACAATCGGACAAATACTGTTTATATTAAAATTTTCATTGAACAACTTATTATTTAACAACAAATTAAATTTATTTCGATCTATTATTTTCTATATTTAATAATCTTTCTATTTTCACTTATTATTTATAAATCTTTTATTTTGTTTATTGATTTTTATCCTAAATTTGATCTCAGAACAATTTCTTAAATTAAATCTATCTTCAATATATGTTATGAGAATTATTTTCAGTCTTATTTTTTCAAACATATCATATTTTAAGTAGAAAATATTACATTATCAATAAATGTAAAATATTGAAAAATAAAACAGTTTATCGAACTAGATCAACATTTATTTATAGTTAATTTAAATAAAAATTAATCTCCATTTCAGAGATAAGTGATCGTGTATTTTTTTGAATAATTTTTGATAGGAATGAAATAGAAATCTATAGAATTTTCATCATTGGAAAGAACATATGAAGATACATCGAATCCATATATATAGATTCAAGTGATTTTTTCCATAAAACTTCAAGAAGAACAGCATCTGTCTCATGGTCACAATATTAATTTGTTAATTTTCAAGAGTACGATAGAGTACCATTAAATAAAGAACTATAAAACTACATCAAGATTCTATTCCTAACTACTATCAGTCAAATATCCAAACAATCGGAGTACAATTTACTACATAATTGTTTTTTTCAAAAAAAAATTAATCGAAAAATGTAAGTTTTTGTAGTATTTTCATGGAAAAATTAATTTTTTTTCTTATAAGAGAGAAAAAAGCAATTCTTTGAAAGCGTTTGACTAAAACTGTTGAAAAGTCTTTCTATATATAAATCGATGCATATTTATCAGCTTTTTCCAAAGGTGAAAATCATAGGTCTCTATATCTCATTTCTATATAAAGTTATTCAAAAAATGTTTACGACCACTTATCTTTGAAATAGATATTAATTCATTTGTGAACAATCTATCTCTAATAGATATAAAAATTACAACTGTGAGCAATATTGTTTTACTTTAAGATAAAAAAACAAGATTAATCTAATAAAGTATAAAATATTACCATATTATAAATATTTGATGAATGATAATTTAAACTAGCAATATTAATAATCAATGTATTTAATTGTTTAAGATGACCATTAAGTAAAGTATAACAATCTACAAGATTATGAACATAAAGAGATAATTTGTAAAGAGTTGAACATAAATAAATAGGTAAAGGTAATTGACGAATATTCACATGTGGAAAATTATATGGAAATAATCCATTTATAGATAAATATTTCAAATTTATGAACGTATTGAAAATATATCCATAAAAATTATTTCTATCAACTTTTTCTAATATTAGATTAAAATTCTTTTCGAATACAACAATAAGATCTGTTATTTGTTCTTGAAAAATATGTCGAAAAGGTGATTCATCTAAATAAACAAAAATTAAATACATATATATGCTATCTAGTCTAATTTATAGAACAGTTTTTCATCTAAATCTTTATTTTGATCAGTAATGTTATGTTATTTACCTGTAAAATAACGTGAAATAATTTTTCGATTACAATTAAAAAGTTTAAGTTGAGTTAAATTAGGATAATCACTAGCAAGAAGAATTTTTTCCATAGATGTTGAATCAAGAATAAGAGATTTAACATTATAATGAATTCTTGGCAAGATATTTTTACAAAATCGATTAAGTATTGAATCAGCAATCGAGTATATATCATCAGTTAATGTTGTTAATACAAAATTAAGAGTATTAGTAAAAATATTTTCTTGTAATATAATATCAAGTCGTTGATTATCAATATCTAATAATGAATAAAGTATATCTATATTATCGAGTTTTTTTAAAATTATTAGTAATATTTCATTAGGTAAATCAAGAAGATTAATATTGGAATGATTCATGTTAAGTATGACACTAATACTTTTCTTGTTATGCATGTATATATATATGTGCATGTTCATTGTTTGTTCATCTCTGTTACTATCATTCACTAAAATGAATAGATGACCTCACCGGCAAAATATAGCATCAAAGAGTAATCTAATTAATTTAAGGATGAATACTTATCCTTTTTTTTTTGCTTTTCTCGTCTATTGTACGAAACGAAATAGACCAGATGAATTAAGAGACAAGTGAATTAGAGCTTGTTTATACTAATTCACCAATCATATATGTAAGGCGTCTCACCAATAAAAAACACTTGTGGCGATGCACATTTTTCACATATTGTCAGACAAACACTAATTAACTGTTTTATGCAAAATCAAATACGATATTTTTCTCATTGTGAATCATTTTTATTTGTTGTTTTCTTTTGGAAAAAAATTATCCTTTTTTAAGACAAATTTATTTATAACAAATTATTTTTTTGTTGTTGTCGATGTGTTTTTTTCCTCATAAACACATCACTATGCTTCCCATGTAAAAAAAAGAATAATTAAAAAGTCCATTAATAATGGATTATTATCATATACCTTTAATCAATAGTTTAAGCTGTAATAATCACAATAAAATCAAATTATAATCGATTTCATAAAGTGTAGAAAATGAATTACAATCATGATATTTGAAATGATCGATTACAATGTGATTTTATTGTGATTATTATTGCTTAAACTATTGATTAAAGGTGTATGATTATAATCGAATTTTAATCGAGCTTTTTGCTTATTAAAGCTGATTTTTTTACGTGGGTCATCATATATAGTTTCTTCTGTGAAAAATCAATTTTTCTGTATTATCGTTTAATTTTTTTATGGTAAAAATGTGTTCCTTCGTGATGAATAGTTATTGACAGGGCCACTAATGGCAAGTGTACACAGTGGAAGCAAAATGTACAAATATTTGGGTGTTTGAAAATACACATTGTTGTACACTTTTCTTAAAAAGCAGTGAACATTGTATACTTTGCAAGTGAGATTTTAAACATATTTTTAGCTCAAAAATTATATTTAAATGATGATTCAGTTCTGGTCTACTTTTTACTTTATCTATTCGTTGGCGAATATCCTTTTTTTTGATGATTTTTTTTCTTTTCAGGTTTATATTAACTCGTTCCCAATAGCGATGTGATGTTTGCAAAAAAAAGGAACTGAAAAATTGCAATACACAACTTAGTTTTCATATCATATCAGTTTTCATGATGATGAAGAGGAGCATGACAGTTTTGATAAATTTTCTAGTTACCTAGAATTTTGAAAAATAATAAATCAAGATTCTTATGTTGATGTGGTTTCCTAACACTATACTTTCGTGTATTCAATTGTCCTAATTGAATCACGTACGCAGATTGCTTTTCCTTGTTTTCTATCTATGTATATATTTTTATTCTCTAATTTTTACTGGGTAAAACAAATACGTAGATGTTTTTCCCATTTTTTCATAATACGCAACGTTAATACCGTATATTTTGTATACTTAACTTATGAAAACAAGCGTAAATATACAATTTGCTCATTAGAAACAGCGTGTATTATGCATTTTATTTTAGATTTCCATTAGAAACACCGGTTATTGATAGTCTGTCCGTAAGACTTTTTCTCATTGTAAAAACTTGTCATTTTTTTGTTATCAAAATAGTCAGACCTTCGGAATGAATTGTTGATGATGAATTGATTGATTTAAAATTTTTTCTTTTTTCAGATATATTTGACAGAATTTAATTCAAGTAGTATCGTTTCCATCTTGTATAGTTTTCATCAAAAAGAATCAAATTAACTCATTATAGAAGGTGTCTCAATCGCTTTTATTATCATTAATATGTTTTTAATATTTCTATCAATGAAAATCATACACAACAAAACGACATCACTCAATGCATTAACATAGTTCATTATGCACTTAGCTTACATTGGAGAGGTTTAACCTGCATTTTCATCGTGGCTTAATTGCTTAGTGTGAGCGCAGATTTACTTGAAATGAAATTAATGCAATTTACTTTTCAGTGTGAACAAGCCCATAAGAAATGTTAGTAATGTTTCTATATAGCAAAAACAAATATATTCTTTTCTATTTACTTTTAATTCGGGTGATTTTTTTGATTATTACCTCTAATATTATTTTTCTCGCTCTAATTACTGTTCTTACTCATATAATATCGAAGACGTTATGTTTAAATCAAGATTCTTCAGGGTAAATCAGAAAGTTTGAGAATACTGAGTGAAAATATTGATGATTTTATCATATTAAACAAAACTAATATGAAAAGAAAAACGTCTCATTCTCTTTTTGTTTATGTACAAAATCATATAGATCTTCTTTTAAAAAGTAAAATTGAGGTGTCGGTGGGTGTGAGTGTGGGTACTTATGTGGGAGTGAATGTAGGCGAGGATACTTTTAAATATAGAGATATCACACACCCATCCACACCCACACCCAAACCGACACCCACACCCACACCCACACCCATACCCACACCCACACCCACAACCACACCCACACCCACACCCACACCCACCCACACCCACACCCACACCCACACCCACACCCACACCCACACCCACACCCACCCACACCCACGCCACATTACCGTACAGCTCGCCGGCGTGAGGGAG